GTCACAAACCAATACTAGTTTTTATAGTTGTACATATATTTACTTTTACTGGAGATATTTATTTCTTCATACTGCTTCTAGTTACTGCCTAGCTTCCCTTCATTTCTTTCTTATTTTTTTATGTTTATTTATTTTTGAGACAGAGAGAGAGTGTGTAAGCAAGGGAGAGGTGGAAGGAGGAGGAGACACAGAATCTGAAGCAGGTTCCAGGCTCTGAGCTGTCAGCACAGAGCCCAAAGCAGGGCTCAAACCCAGGAGCCACGAGATCATGACCTGAGCCAAAGTCGGACACTTAACTGACTCAGCTACCCGGGTGCCCCTAGCTTCCCTTCATTTCAACTGGCAGGGCTCCTTTTTAGTATTTCTTGCGTGGCAAGGCTAGTGGTAACAAATCCCCTTGGTTTTTGTTTATCTGGGAAAGTCTTAATTTCTCCCTCATTTTTGAAGGACAGTTTTTCTGGATATAGAATTCTCATTTGACAGGTTTTACTTTTTTCTTTTCTTTTCTTTTCTTTTCTTTTCTTTTCTTTTCTTTTCTTTTCTTTTCTTTTCTTTATTTCAGCTCTTTGAATATATTGGCCCACTGCCTTCTGGCCTTCAAATTTTTTGATGAGAAATCTGTTATCTTACTGAGGATCCCTTGTATGTGATGACTCACTTCTCTCTTTCCTTTCTGCTTTTAGATTCTTTTTGTTTGGCTTTTAACAATTTGATCATAATGTGTCTCAGTATGGATGTTTTATCTGACATTGGGTTCATTATGCTTCTTGAATTTATAAATTCATATCCTTCATCAAATTTGGAAAGTTTTCAGATAGTCAGAAAGTTTTCATAATTTTCTTTAGATAGTCTCTCTGCCCCTTTTCTGTCTCTCCTCCTCCTGGGACTCCCACAATGCATATATTTGACCATTTGATGGTGTACCAGAGGTCCCTTAGGCTCTGTTTACTTTTTCTCATTAAACATCCTTCTGTTCCCCAGACTATATAATTTCCATTTCCTATATTCAGGTTTGTTCATTCTTTTTCTGCCTGCTTAAATCTGCTTTTGAACCCATACACGTGGTGTTTTTCATTTCAGCCCTTGTATTTAAGCTCCAGACTTTCTTTTTGGTTCCTTTCAATAATTTTTATCTCTTCATTAATATTCTCATTTTGTTCATATATTGTTTCCCTATGTCCATATATTCTCTTAGCTCTTTGAGCATCTTCAAGACAATTGTTTTCAAGTCTTTGTCTAGTAAAGTTGATATCTGTGCTTTCTGAGGCACACATTATGTCCACTTCTTTCGTTTCTTTGAATGTATCATACATACATAGATTCTAGTAGGGCACCAGGGTGGCTCAATTGGTTAAGTGTGATTTCTGCTTGGGTCATGATCTCATGTTCATGAGTTTAAACCCCGCATCAGGCTCTGCACTATGTGGAGCCTGCTTGGGATTCTCTCCCTCCCTCTTCCTCTGCCCCTCCCCTGCTCTTGCACACTCTCTCACAATAAATAAACTTAAAAAAAATAGACTCTAGTATAATTGTTGTCTAGGTGAAGAGATGGATTTCTGGCACTTCTTACTCTATCATCATCCCTGATGTCATACCTCAGTGATTAACATTTTAAAGAACCTTATCTCTATGTCCAGTTTGCCATTAGGGCCCATTTCAAATGTTTTTTGTCTCCCCACGGTCACCCCATACTAGGTTTTAAACTTCTTAAGGACAGGAATGGGGCCAGTTTTTCAAAGTGGCTACACCATTTTACATTTCCACACCAGTGTATAAGTTTCTATTCTTCCACATTCTCATCAATACTTGTTATTCTCTGTCTTCTTTATTTTATCTATCCTAATGAGCATGTAGTGGTATATTGTGATTTTTATCGGGATTTTCCTAATACTAATGATGTTGACCATCTTCATGTATTTATGGCCATTTGTATATCTTCTTTGGAGAACTGTCTTTTCATATCTTTTGCCTATTTTTCAACTGGGTTTGCCTTTTTTGCCACTGAGTTGTACTTTTCAAATATATTCTAGATACAAATCGCATATCATATACAGGATTTGCAAAATTTTCTTCCATACAGGGGCACCTGCGTGGCTCAGTCAGTTGAGCATCCCACTTCAGCTCCGGTCATGATCTCACAGTTCGTGGATTCGAGCCCCATATCCAGCTCCACACTGAGTATGGAGCCTGCTTGGGATTCTCTGCCTCCTTCTCTCTCTGCCCCTCTCCCACTTGCACACACATGCTTGCTTGCTCTCTCTCTCTCTCTCTCTCTCTCTCTC